ACAGCCCATGTGTGCGATACCTCTGGGCTACGCGGTGTATATGATTTGTTCTCGTGTCTGATTCTGCAATGGTAGACAGTTCCCTCACCAACAGTCAACTCACGCGACGAACCGTTTCCTGTTCGCCCTAACACAGAGACACTATACCGCTACCCATTGCCACATAAACAAGGACTGTCTCCGGAGTTACTGAGAAAGGTCGTAAGCTAGGACTGTACCCAGTCTGCAAGCGATCGGGGAACACCGTACAGGTTGCAATGTCACCTAACGCCCAACGTATTCGAACCGGAAACCACTTTACGACCATAAAAGTTGACACGTATTATCTGCGACATGGTAGTGCGACATATAACCACGTAACTCCCGGCACGATCGTCTGAATATAATCTTTCGCAGAGGCAACTATTAAAGAGTTCTATACTCGTCAAAAGACATTACATGAACAGCGAACACGCAGGGAGGGTCGGGAAATGTGTTTCCTACATTGTGGGCAGACACAATTTCTTTAATCTATAAAATGGCACGAACATTATCCTCATACAAACACGTCAACGGGAATTTTAGAAACCAGAAGAGATGTTTTTTAAAGTTTCTGTCCAGTTTTTATCTTATCACCGTTCTCACGATCGACGATTTTAATAGGGACTTTTGTACCGTCTGATTGGACTTAAACTAGAAACTCCGAGGTTATAGTTATATTACATTCACAGAGCAAACCTAGGCAAGATGTACTGTAGCTCTTTTGCGATCTAACGAAACTTGTAAGCGTGTTGTGACGGAGAAAGCTGTAATACTACTTTTGTCATATTCTGTGTTGGTTAGATACATTTCCCATTCAATTCGGAGTAGAAGTTAATCACAATTATTTTTCGATACTTTCCCTCAGTGTGCGAGGAGCGGTCGAAAATGTCTTGGGACTACTTCGGTTTTAGTTGGTAGTTAATCAGTCTCCGGAAACCTATCCCGGACAATTCGAAGGGAGCGGATGCGTCAGAGTAGTAAAAGGAAACATTCCGAAGAAGTAACTTTCTGTCGTGTAATTAAAACAGTGAATTCATGAATGTGGAAGTCGAGAATTAGCAACGGTGAGTGGAGACCAATACAGCGTTACGAAAGAATCGTGAGCGATTCGTATCCGTCCACGTAAACCTGCGTACCCAGGTTCTATGGAGCCATGGTACTTATACTGTGATTTGTCATTGCCGTTTGCTGGCAAAAGCAGGAGCACCCCGCCCTGGAATTAGAAGAGAGAAAGAAGCTCGGCCAGAATACGATATTCGCGAGATATCCATCCGTCGGTCACTCGACTCAGAACATCGACAAAGGGGAAGATCTCAGGCCTCTTTCCACAGAAATTACACAACGTAGCGATAAGTCATACGGTCCCTCTCTCCCACTCCTATCTCCCTTCATCTCCCTTCCCGACTGTCGGGCCTCCCCGAGTACGTCACACTCCCTTATGACCGCCCAGTGAACAGGAACAACACGGAGCGAACGTCATGGATAAACCGAAATCAGTCGGTCGGGAATTTACGAGATCACCACCGAGTCGCGCGATCGATAAAACTGTATACTTGAAATTCTCACTAACTTCTCAATTGGTCTAGCATATAAGCGGTCAACATATCACTCAATACAATCAAATTTAATAAAGTGAGAAACTCTACTCGTTAGTGGCAATTAGAACAAGACCGCCTGATATTCCGCTGGACTTATATTCGGCGTCGTCGAATTCAACTTACTACACATGTATATTTCGGCGTGACCTTGATATTCGCGGTCCACAAAATTACAAATTAATGGTATACATTCCCAAGCACGTGCTCCCCTAACAGTACCCTTTCTCTACCGACAAATCCTTTCGAGGCCGTAAATGAATTGTAAAAGTTGTTATCTGTTTCACAGCAACAGTATAAAACGGTTTGCATAAGTTCACAATGGTAAAAACACGTTATCATCGATGTTTGTACATGACATGACACATTTGACATGACATAGTGTATCGCAAGTCTGTGCGTTGAAAAGTTGAAAGTTTTGGAATTATGCCACGCGACGAGGGTCGCGTGCATGGAGCCGTCACTAGAATGTCGTCATCAATGCCCTGTTTTTGACAGGAGAGAGAGCAAATTGAGAGACGAGACAGAACGAGTAGCCACAGAACAGAGAGCATCGGTGAGAGCCAAGTGAAAAAATGAAAACGCGCCATGTCACGGATGACACAGGTAATAACGCAAACAAAGTCCGGAGGTCGAAAGACGACCCTGCAAGAGAGCTGGCGACATCTATCTTGTCGAACGACGCCACCACGACCGTCGGCGCCGTGACACACGTCTCACGCGAGCGATACAGCTTCAACGTTATGTGTCTCGCGCAGGGACCGGACCATGATTGAAATATGGGGAGCTATCCTTTCATGTTCTTGAGACTCCTACAACCCTCAGGCCAGGGAACATTCACTCTGGCGAATCTTACAACTATCTTTAGGAAAACGATCTAATTACCCGACGCCTGCGTGGCAATAAGATCAGAATAGGTAGTTAGTAATCTAAGAGCGCGCAGCGATCGACAAGCCTTTATTTCAACCCTATTATGTGGACGACTACGTGCGGTAACTCACATGAGATCATCAGGACTTACACTACATGCGCGACACACACACCGCAGAACACACTCACACACGCACACGTGATACAGAGGACGGATCACTATGCCGGTCTATGTCGTTACAAGTGAGATCGGACACTGGTGACGATGTAGTCGTTGCGCTCGCTACGAGTGATATCGACTATATGTCCTAGCGCGAGAGCGCTTACTTTCGAGCACATAACAACACGATCTACGCTACCTTCCTATTACTAACCGGTGAGGAGAGATTGATTCTAATCTCAATCTAGACACACCATTATCTCCTGTCTCCTCTCTCGATCCCACCGTGAGTTGTAGTCGCACGTCTCGCCGGTTTGTCTCGACATGGGAAATCATTAACTCATCGGATCTCGTGGAATCCCCACACTGTTTACACAAATGTCTCTTTCCTTCTGGTGAGTGGTAACGGGTATGCGGTTGTACAGATGGCGGGTAGTGGGTGTCGGGAGGTGTGCTGTCGGTTGAACTGGTGTGGGCGCGTGAGTGGAGCGGCTAAGTGTGATAAGTGATAGACACGTGAGACTGGTGCTTCTCGTCTGTATATATCTTGGATTTAGAGGTAATCACAGCGTTCCAACATTCTATCCATTATCCAACTAGGGAACCCAATACTTTGGATACGAGAGAGTTATTACTATCCGGATGATAGAGAGAGCGACGTTCATTATAGTAAGCGACACTTTGGTGAACCAGTTAACGCTTTACCGACCACAGAAAACACTATTTGCGATAAGGCGTCCGTCTTTATCCAGTATTGGGGTCCCGGAGAGCTAAGTCCTTCTGACCGGAGAGACTTGTGGGACAGTACAGTGTGTGTACAGACAATACAGAGGGCCGACCGGACCGTGGTGTGTGTTCTGTATGTGTTGTGTGTGTGTGTGTGTAGGTGTGGTTGGTGTGTGTGTGTGTGTGTGTGTGTGTGTGTGTGTGTGTGTGTGTGTGTGGTGTGTGTGTGTGTGTGTGTGTGTGTGTGTGGTGTGTGTTGTGTGTGTGTGTGTGTGTGGGTGTGTGGTGTGTGTGTGTGTGTGTGTGTGTGTGGTGTGTGTGTGTGTGTGTGCGTATGTGTGTGGTGTGTAGCGTATGTGATACGTGTGTTTTGTGTAATACATATTTAATGAGGATCCTCTAAAACAAGAACCGAAAACAAAGCAGTTCAACGGTCTGGTGACCTTCAGTTGTGAACCTGGAAACGTATTCGATGTGTTGTTGATACATTAGAGCACAATAGACTACACAGGACCCCTTGCATTGTCTGTTAATTGGTAAACGTATGAAAAACTGTGGGCATATGCCAGGCCGAGAGACGGACTCGCTCTGGCAGTGGGACTTTAGTGTCTGTTGGTGGTGTGTGCGTGCGTCGCGGCCACAGCAAATAGTGGTAGTTGTGTGTGTGTGTTGTGTGGTGTGCGTGTGTGTGTGTGTGTGGTGGTGAGTGTGTTAGTGTTGTGTAGTGTCGGTGTGTGTGTGTGTGTGTGTGTGTGGTGTGTGTGTGTAGTGCAGATAGATTAGTCTCTTCTTGTCGTAAAGACTTTTGTACAATTTAATCCAAGTATACTATAAAAGCAAGCGGCGTAACAAAAAAAACCGAAACAAGAGATATGAGACTACAAGAAGTCCCACGTCGAGAGGGTGGCTCACGTATAAAAGGGTTTAGGGGTTATCCCGGAGGATTTCCTGGACTCCCTTGACGCGCTCACCGGAAAGCGGAAGAGGAGACGACGTACACACGTCTATAACACTACTGGAACAGAAAGTCAAGGTTCTGGTAACAAGTCTTTCTATCCAGGAGGTATCTGAGACGATCATTTGGAGCACAGAGAATATTATATAGTCCTTCTTACACGGATAGTTTTTGAGAGTTACTATAAACACAAGAGGATCTCAATATAAGATCAGACTAAACGTTCAACCGACCACTCGGGAAAAAGAAAACAGCTAAATTTTACTGTATGAACACCCAAGTCTTCTCACGCGCCAAAGGACGAGGAAAAAGAGAGCAGACATGGTAGCCAGTAAAATATAAAACAAGGAAGGAAACCAAGGGAGCTGGATTCAAGTTCCAGTGGATGCGTTGCTGCTTGCCTTTGGTGAATGCTGGTATTTTCAACTGTGCATTATACAGTCCCACAGTGTCTTTCACATTGAAGCCTCTATCAGCAAGAACAACATCTCCTGGTGATAATTTCTCAAGATATGAGCAGTTTTCTGTAATGTACTTGTCGCTTGAGCCCCCTCCCCAGCCCTTTGACACAAAGGATGTAACACCCTGTGGTGTTATAGAAATTAGATATTTTACAGTGTTGTGGTGCTTGTAATAGGAGTATGTTTGTGCACGTGCCCTTAAATTCTTTGGCTTCTCTACAAAAATTTCAAAACAGTCAATGATGGAAGTGCAGTTGCTAAAATTATCCCTGAAACACATGGGCAGACTAACCTGAATTTGATCTTTTGAGGGCCAAAATATAAGTGGTGACAGTCTGGTGACATACATGACATCTAAAGTATTGTTGAACATTCTGACAACACTGCTCTTAGACATATGAAAAAGATAAACAAAAATATATAAAGGTAAGTTAAGCCTCATTCTCATCAGTGTTAATAAAAAGCTATGAAAGGGAGTCAGTCTTGGACCACAAACCCAGACAGGAAGCCAAAAACAATCATCATTTTAGCATTGCTTGGTAGGCCTGTTAGTTCCTGTACCATCTCATCATTTCCTTTGAAGGCTTCTTCCTTGAAAGACAGCACATTAACTTTGTCCTTAAGACAATTAACCTCAGCTCTTAATCGTGCACACTCGTTTGTCAATGCCTTGACTGTAGCTCGGCAGGTAGCATTTGAGCATGGTTCCACAATACCTGAGCTAAGAATGGCTTGAGAGTAACTGTGGTCATCTTTCACACATTCTACCTGTTCAACTAAGGTGATGTCAAGCCCAGTGGCATCACTGGTGCTGGAAGGTGCCACAGTCTCATGGTCACTATCAGAAACCAAAGTCTCAGTCCGTTTCCTTTTCACCTGCTGAGTATGCTCAAATCTGCTGGTGGCATAGATGCTTCTCTGCCGCTGTCCAGCTGACGTGTGCGCAAACAGGCTGGGGATGTAGTCAGGACTCATGGGGTTGTCATTTTTTCTTCCTAAGCAGACAGAGGCAAACATGGTAGAATATTAATGTGTGTATAAGGCCTCCTAATAAGATAATGACAAGTATTACGATCCAACTTAGGTAAAAGTAGCAATAATACATGTAATATAAATACACAAGTAATTTAAGGCATGCATTCAATAATATTGAGAACGGCAATTTCTTTCTCAGTTTTCTGCCAGAAATGTGTCTTTTATTCAAATGCAGTCGGTTTCAAGCGTAAAGGAACACAGAGCAAAACTAATGCAGTCCTTTCAAAACTGGGAATATTGAGTGCTATGTTACCATTACACTGCTAACGGTAATTATTATTCGGCAACTGAATTATCTATGTTGAAGTATTTAGAAAACGTATTTCTGACAAAAGAAGCTAAAAGATAACAATAAGTGAAGAGCTTACCGGAAACGAAGTGTTGACTACACAATCTGGAGTTATGTCGGCTGCCAGTGATCCCTTCTGATGGCAGCCAGCCATTTATTACGACGGTCTAAGTCTTTGGGGATCGATACAAACTGTAGTCCGGGGTTCCTCTGGCGACTATTGTCACAGCCCACAGCACAACAAATCCCAGGCATATCCACAAACTTTGTTATTCACGATGTGTCTTTCTCTGTTGCTTCCTCCGTGTTCTCTGTTGTTGTAATGACTTGCTGTGACCGGACACCAAAATGGCGGCGCTAGAATACAGTGACGTCACGTGGTACCCATGAATATATAGGCCTGTCGCGATAATCAATAAATTGACTTATCGTACGATAAATAAAAATGGACTCGATAACTTTTCTGAGCTCGATAAATTGCACTCTATATGTGTGTTTGTTTACATAAGGATGTGACCAGAATTTTAGCCCGGCGCGCTGTGAGGGCTCACACACAGCCAACTCAGGAAACTCTGCGTGCAAGAGTGTAGCAGCCAAATTAATAATATAGAGACAAGAACGAGACAACGTGTGACTTACTCGAGGGGAATTTGAAGTTAAATGGAATTGGTTGCCAAACCTAATACCACATCTCCGGTGTGGGAATATTTTGGATTTAAGCCAAATCAACGTGGCGAACCTACGGACTTGAATGAGCCGGGCGGTGTGTCGCATTTGTTTAAAAAAGGTAGCAACAAAAGCTAGCAATACGACCAACCTTAAACTGCACCTGAAACACAACCTACCCATTCCGTTTTCCCAGCTGGGAGCAAACTCGGCAGCTGGCGATGGAGAGCCCCCACCTTCCCGACAGTTTACAATCAAAGATGCATTTGCCCGACAATGCAAACATGTTGGTGTTCCTTGCTCGAAATCTTTGAAATACAGATTTGGATATGGCCTGTTGAGGCATCTGGGTCTTTGTAAGTAACATGTAATGTTTGTATGGACAGTGGACTGTACACTTGACTGTTGTTTTAAGGAGGGTTTTTTTTGCTTGTGAGACAATGTGTGCTCATGTAGATATGAGAGAGAGCTTTGTTTTCCAGCCTGAGTCTATTTAATTGATTGTTTTGGTTGTGTGTCATTTAATTAATTTTGTTATAATTGAATTTGTTTTATTTATTGTATATCATTTATATATTTGAATATTATTTCACATTTCATATGCAATGTTGGATGTTCAATAAAAATTTATGTTTGTGGTCTAAAATGGTCTTACAACGNNAGCATTTTGTTCAATATCTGGCATTAAAATGTATTGAGCTCTGATTGCTGTTTGTGCTGGTTTGGAAAATTGTTGGGAATGTGATGGAAGCGGTTAGGTTTGAGGTCAGAGAGAGGAAAGTAGGTCCTTACTCACTAGAATGTGTGTGTGTGTGTGGTGTGTCATGGGATTTATAAATGCTGCAAAATGAAGTCCTTTAATGGTGCACCATTCCCTGTGGCGCAAAAAACGTTTTAATGGCGCTTTATGATTAAAATCTGATTATGGCAAACTAAGAGAAAGGGATTATTCTCATTAAGATTATTTCAGCAGATTCTTGATGGACTGCTCCATCGATATTCCTGTGTTGGTGTGATTTCTCACCGTGTGTATTGTCCCACTAAGAGTTTTTGTACCTACCAGAAAAATGCAATAGCTCGTGAAAAGTATTCCTATTTTCAGCTGTATTTGTTTGTATCTCATTAATACTAAATTGTTCCTGTTATATTTCCTATGAGGGTTACATTTAAAATTATTAATTCATTAGTCAATTGATTATTATTATATTTTATTTATCTTGATAATCAATTAATCATTTAAATATTTTGTAAGCAATGATTCCAGTATTTTTCAGAAGGCAGCTTTTTAAATGTAAGGAAATGCTGTTTTTCTATCTCTTTAAAATGTAAACTGAATATATAAGTAGGCCTCTCACGATAATTAATTTTGTTGGACGATACATTTTCCCAGAAATTATTGCGATAAACGATAATATTGTCGGNGCAGGAGAATTTGAGGGGTGGCATCCCCTGGCAGAAGTATATTCTGATTTAATCGCAGTCATATCAATCAATGTTAACTTGGAAATCTATCAATATTGTGGATTTCCAAGTTAACATTGATTGATATGACTGCGATTAAATCAGAATATACTTCTGCCAGGGGATGCCACCCCTCAAATTCTCCTGCCACCCTCTTGCCACCCCATGAATATTTGTCTAGATCCGCCCCTGCTCTGACCTCAAACCTAACCGCTTCCATCACATTCCCAACAATTTTCCAAACCAGCACAAACAGCAATCAGAGCTCAATACATTTTAATGCCAGATATTGAACAAAATGCTACAGTTAATAAGTCTTGTGTTTGTGCATTTTGGCAAAGGAGGGTGGAGCAATACCAGAAATGTAACAATACACAATAAATCCTATATACTTAAAAATACCTCAATTCAATAACATGAAAATGCTTGGTTAGAAAGTTAATCGGATCAATACTCCCTCTCATATATCTATTTGATATTGCTGTGACAACATCTTGTTCAAGCACATGTATTTATTCAAGTTGCTCACCTGAAATTAAAGTTTACAAGAATACATAATAGGAAGACGTTGTTGGTCTCGAACCATGACAATACTGTAGAAAAATGAGTGACGCCATGTATTGTTGGCATATACTTACCAAAGGAACTGTTCTTGTGACAAAAGTGTGTTTGCATGGGCAAAACATAGGGCTACTCAATTAATCATATTTTAATCGCAATTACGATTATGGCTTGCAACGATTACGAAAACAACGTAATCGAATCAAAACAATTATTTTTTTATTATTACTTTTTTTTAAATTGGTTTTTCAGTTGAATTATACTCAAAGTTCAGGGTAATCAACTGTTAAAAACATACTGTTCAACATTTTTTTCTCCAATAAATTGATGTTTTCAAAGTAAATGGATAATCGTTTTTAATAATCGTGATATCAATTATTGACCCAAACAATCGAGATTATGATTTCAGCCCTAGCAAAACATGACTAAACTAAACCAACCCTTTTTAACTGCATCAGTTCACTTTGTACTGTTAACAGCTCCGGATGAAGCGACCTCTCCTAATCTTTCCTAAATCTCAATCTCTACATGTTTGGCAGCCATTCCATTCCAGTGTCTGTTGAATTACAACACAGAGACATTTTGTCAGTAGTATACGTAATAAAATATATCTGTTTTAACTTTACTCAAAGACATTCCTATGAATAGTAAAACCAGAGAAAGTGATAATGCTGCAGTGGTCTCTTCATATTTCCCAGAGCTGTAACTTCAAACCTTATTTCCCTTCTTATTCATATCAAAAGGAGTACACAAACACAGATAATCAATAGTGCAGTGCACAGGGAATGACAGCTGAACACCTCATGACAGAACTGCTTGTTCACGTTCCAGCGAGCAGAATGCAACTAAAGCTCTTGGGAATTGAAACTTTGGAACAAGGAAATTGTCTGAAATGACATAACGCAAGCCTTTGCAAAGCCATGCAGCGTTGTGTGGTCTTCTCATTGTGGTGTTGCAAGGCTGTGCCCAAGGAAGACCTTTCATGTGGGGAACAGAGAAAGATTTTTGACAGTTTCACCTCTACTGTGTCCTGCGGCTCATGATTGTGTCCGGTTTTACTTTCTTTTGAGCCGACACACAACACATAGTGGAATGCTCCAAGTGACAGAACAGATGTTTGCTGGGACAGCAGGCTGTAATTGGTGTGTGACCGTTCATACTAATCTCAAAACTAACCAGGAAATCCAGTTTCCCCCCCTTTTATCCTCCATAAGCCGTCCTGTCTGCTCCTGTGTCTGTGGATTCAAATCTGAATAACTGCCAAGTTCTGCTAAAGCTGAAACATTTTCAACATATTTCTTTAAAAAAAAAAATAGGCTTTGTGGCCAGCTTTGGTTTTTGGAGAATGTTAGTCCAGCTATATTCAAACATTACATCGTGATCCAGCCAATAACATACTTATCTTGATATTTTATTTGGCTTTCCTTTCTATTGATAAGGATCTACTTTTCAATAGAATGATTATACATTTTGTTTACTTTATTGCAAAATAATCGATTTCAAAACGTATTAACTAGTGGTTAAACATAAATGCCTTGTTTTTGTGAAGGGAAAAATAAATGAGTGATTTCCTATTGCATTGAGCTTGTTAATCCCTTATTTGATCAACAACAAATGTGCAATTATTGAAATAGTGTTTTCTTAAGATTTCTGTTTATTTAAATGCCTGGCTTAAACTTGGGTCTGCTGTTGATCGAACAAAACAAGAGATTGAGGATGTCGCCTGGGAATGACATATATATGCAACTAATATAAAACAAGCAACTGATTATTTGCATTAATAAACAGATTTAATAACGGAAGAGTTGATAACAGATGTATTTATGATTAGGATCATTATAAATTACAGCCTTAGTCATTTATGTCTCTCTTTTTTGCCAAGATGATATGAAATGCCTTGTAAAAGTTCACCCTTAACATAATAGTCTTCAAAAGAGAATAAAAGACACTGGAGCCCTGCCTGCAAACCAGAGACAAAAATACACACCTCCCCCTGCTTTTCACCTACAGCTGGTTTGGAGGGAATGTCTTGGAATTTGGTAAGAAAAGGCTAACTTCCTGGCATCGTAGTTAGTTAAAATCAAATCAAATCCATGTACTATTATCTGATGAGATAGTAAAGATAATAACAGGAGTGGAAGGTGACAGAATTCAGTTATAGTTTGTTCAAATAAAGTTTCCTTTCAAATTCCACTCGCCTCTCCCACACGTATTATTTAGCTTAATTATTCACCACACCAGGAAAGAGCGAGTTCAGATCTGGAGCGTTGTGTAACAAAGAGGGAAACAGTTACAGAAAGATGTGGCTGTAAATGTAATGCTTCCTGACAGAGCTGCTCAATTAATCATATTTTAATCGCGATTACGATTATGGCTTGCAACGATTGCGAAAACAAGGTAATCGAAATAAAACGATTATTTTTGTGTTATTACAACTTTTTTTGTTTTTTATTACTTTTTTTTTTTTGGTTTTTCAGTTGAATTATACGTTATGTTATTATTAATATACAAGTTCAGGGTAATCAACTGTTAAAAACATACTGTTCAAATGTTTTTCTCCAATAAATNGTTCAGGTAATCAACTGTTAAAAACAATACTGTTCAAAAAAAATTTCTCCAATAAATGGATGTTTCAAAGTCAATTAATAATCGCATTTAATAATCGCAATTACAATTATTGACCCAAATAATCGAGATT